TGAGTGTTGCGCGTCGATATATGATGTGTAGATGTTTGGTTCGAAAAGCGTGAGCTATTGAAGCAGCATTTTGGTTCGAAGCTGAGCCTAAAGTTCGACACGTGACAAAGAAAACCAAAAGAAGGCCACCGAAAAATTAAATGAGAACCGGACTTACCAAAGTGACTGACTCACTCACAAGGAGCAGAAGGCCAATCCTGTTATCAAGCCAGAGGTCAGGGAGCTAATCCGTGAAAATGTTGTTGGAAATGGCATGAAAGTCTCTGAAGCAATAAAGACATTCAAGGTCTCCATAGACCAGATCCAGAGGATCAAGACCAAGGATACCTCTTTGGTCAAGACAGTCAAGAGAAGAAATGAAAAGTTCACCAATGAAATGAAGGTTGAGCTCCTTCATCAGCTAGAGCAAAAATATTCAACAACCCTCACAGAGCTTGCGCAATTCATCAAAGAAACATTCGATGTTACAGTTTCAACCCAAGCAATCAGCAATCTTATCCAAAATATGGATATCACCTGGAAACAAACAACAAACATACCGACTTTGTGGGACAAGCCCCAATTGATCAAGCTTTGAGCCAACTTTGTTCACCGTTGTGGCTTGGATCTCGAGCGGACTGTTGTTTTTGTTGATGAGGCAGGCTTTGACCTGCACTCTGGCTGGGAATTTGGTTATGCACCTCAAGGTAATAATATATCAAGTTATTAATGTGGCAATAACAGTCTTATTTGATTTCTTTTGACTAGGTGAACCTGCTTTCTTGAGCCTTGTGCCTAAGAGACAGATGACACTCATAGGAGCTTTGTCCAAAGAGGGTTTTGTCTATCATGAGCTCTTGAATGCCAAAAATACCATGGCAAAGGGGGTAGGGGCAGATCAATTCTGCCTCTTTCTTGGTAGTCTTGGTTCTCAGTTGCCGGAAAATTCCATCATCATCATGGACAACGCACCGATCCATCAAGTTGATTGGTTTAACAAAGTCAAAGTTTCCTTGAACACCTCAGAATCAATCTCTATTGAATTTCTTCCCCCTTACTCTCCCTTTCTCAATCCCATCAAATACTTGTTCCATTCCATCAAAGCTTATGTCCAATCAAACCAGCCTTCAAACCAAGCAGCACTTGTGGCTGAAATAAAAGATGCAGTCAATGAGGCAATCACACCTCAAAAGTCAAAGAACATTTTCACTCATTGTTGCCGCCTCTACTGCCCCTGTGCTGTGACTTCCCCTCCAGAATGAACTTTTCCTGTTGTTTCTCAGCTCCCTCATTTCTTTGCTGTATTAACCACATTAGTATCTACCTCCACTACATATTGTAGCTTAAATATCAAGTCAATAATAGTTTTGAAAGTGTTACAGCCAAATGACACCAGCCATGGCACACTGGCTTGGCTTCGGCCAAGTCAGGCTTGTGACCGACTCACCTCAACTTGGGGGCCAAACACCACCCTAACTTGATGGAGTGCCCAGCGGCACTTGACACACAATAAGCCAACTGGACCGCCCAGCAAAAAGCGTTGTCTCGTCCCCGGACAGGATTGAACTGTCAACCTCTCGATGTGACTACACGAGTAACAGTCGAACGCGCTAACCAATTGCGCCACGGAGACCTGTTGCTGGTTACGACATTCATAGAAACATTTTGATTGTTGATTTCGTTTTCAAAAGGGTTGATTCGGATTCGGGTGAGAAAATGGACAGATTTGAGGGGGATTTCATAGGGTCGGCCATGGATGACTTTTTTTTTGATTTGGAGAGAGTTTAGTCACCGCTGGAAAGTTGATTAGTGAGACTTGGTCGGATTCTGGATGGAGAGACTTGCAGAAGGTACACTTTTAGTTTCGATTGGGATTTGAAGTGAATGTGTCAGTCAGCCTGGACTGAGTGATCTGACACTCCCTTCAAGGTTGTAAGCGATGAGCGAATATATATTATTTTATTTACATAATAATAAAAAATGAGTTAAATTCCCTTTAAAGGCGAGAATGTCTACAAGCCCAGGTGGGGAAACAGCCAACCCAACTATTTACGAAAAACCCATATCTCCATGTTCTTACATTCATTCCCTCCCTCAACGCTTTATTTTTCTCGTGGGTTGTACTGTTGGAAGGTAAAGCATCGTGATCAGGAGTCATATATCCATGGCCATGTCCTTCAAGCGACACTCAACAATCATCGAACAACCAAAACAGTCAATAAAACCAACAACTGCATCCCTCGGTCACCACCGAAGAAGCTCCGATGCACAACTAGTACTCTCCCATCCAATCATCTCGAGGTCAATACAGGCTCTTCAAAATCAGACCAGAACCACATCAGCAGCCAACAAACCACTCTCAAAACTATCCAAACCACCATCAACAACCAGCAACAAGAACATTAACTTCCCTCCCAAGCGCAATATCCATCTCTCAACAGTCACTATCAACCACGGCTTACCCTCCCCTACTACTAGTACTACACTCGGCTCCGAAAACGGATACCCTAAATCTAATTACTCGCATCTCCATCCCAATCAACAACTCTCCTCTAGTAGTACTCCTACCGATCGAAAAGTAACCGCCAGTCGACCTACTAACCTACAGCCTGCTCCCAGATCTCAAACCTCAAAAACAAATATTGCTTCCCCTCTAAACTGTCCCTCCAGGGTGATGAAGCCCTCTTCTCACAGGGATTCTCCAATACCAAGTATGTATCATCATCCCATCTTAATGATGATCTCATCACCTCGAGTCCAACCAATATATAAATAAATATATATATTTATATTTATTTCTTCAGACCAGAGTATGCATTCTGAGCCGATTGCATATAGTCTGGTCTGATCGGTACCTTCTTCACATGCTGTGCAATTTTCACAATTTTGGCGCTATTTGCTGATCTGCCCTGCTGTCTGTGTGTCTGGTGTCCTCTGCGGCGCATTCATTCGCTTATCAAAAAAAAAAAAAAAACAGCCCAACTCCCGAAGCGAGCGATAACCACCACTCAACCACGAGTGTCGGCTTCACTCGGCCAATCCTCAAAAAAGATCCTCTCAGCCATCACACAACCCTCAACGATATCCTCCCAGCTCCATCGAAACACCATCTCAAGAAGATCATCTACCGTCGATGGACCTATGTCTTCCCGTAGCTCCAATTCTGAGTCCACTTATTCTGCCCATTTCAACGAGATCAACCAGCCAGATCACAGCGCAAAAAACCTGTCAACCTCGCTTCTCTCTGACGCTACTGTCAAACCTCATCGCTCTTCATCCGGTGGCTCATCGGTTGACTTGAGAGGGTCGAAACTCAAAGCCAAAGATCGCTCCAAGGACCAATCATTCGCCACCCTCAATGTAGAGACTCATAATCTACCAAGATCAAAGAGGCTGATCGGCATGAAGGAAAGAAACGAAAGGGTTGAGTCCTGATTTCAAATCTTAATCAAACATTTCAGTTACGGGACTGACCTCCTCTCCTGTCAATTCAGATCTTTGCTAGCATCAATGCTTCCTTGAACTCACCCCCTCGTACTCATCCCCCCGAACCCTCTCTCCCACCACCCCCACCCTCCTCGACCTCACCAAACTCCTCCGACTCACCACCTCTTTCGTCCCCAATCTCATCACCCAAAAGATCATCCGGTCACCTCCGAGTTCCTGGTAGTCATGATATCTGCTCCGGTCTCATTCCATTTGCCAAAGGGTGCAGTCCTAGTCCTAGGAAGATCGTCACTAGCACCCAGCCGCAAGCCTCCAACGGTCGACTGGACAACCCTCCCGTACCCTCAACCAGTTTGAATCCTGATGGCACCGAGAACGACGAACATTATGGAAGTGTACGTCACAAGCGACCCGAGCGCTGTCGGCTTATCAAGCGCAACTCGCCTGAGGGATATTCTGAAGCAGATCTCAAGTCGCCATCACATTCTCAAGGAGGGAAGATGGTCGGTCACCCAGATCGGGCAAGAAGACAAACCGATCCCAAAGCCGAGCAACTCCCCCGTGACACCGCCGATCCACCGAAATCAGATAATATCACAAACTCACACAGAAACAGTCGCACTTGGTCTGAATCCATCTCCATGCATACATCATCTAGCGATACCATTGGCGCTCCAGACAATCGTAACGCGCGGCGAAGCGCATCAAGGAGCTCAGCTGTCGACCGCGAGACTGGCCATCATAGCCATCATGCCTCAAGTATGTACTGCGAGGATGATCATAGTGATGGCAGTGATTACGAAACTGGCCAAGACGAGACGATGACGACCCCAGTCAAAACCCATCGATCAGAGTCTTATCAAAAAACCCTGCGTAACGCTAATTCGGTTAGCGAGATGCTTGACCATCGTAAAACCCACGATACCGAACCCATCCCGGTTGGTCGGACACCCAGGCCATCTCTTGACCGCCGCCAGAGATCTTCATCCCTCAAGGATGAAGGGATCTCTCATTCAGGCAGGGAGCACCCAGCGGACTCTCCACCCAAGTCGTCGCCAAACATCAACCGATCCCCCCAGTCTCACGCCAGTATCTCACGCCGACAGAGGCCAGGATTGCCCGAGCATTTTGTGCAAACCCGTCATGATGAATCTTTCGACTCTGAGACCATCCATAGTATGGCCGAAATCCGTCGGCTGGGGCTACATTCTTCCCGCAGTCCGAGATCTAATCGGACTCAACCCCCTACCAACATTGGTGATCGCTCACGTCAAGATTCTGACTATCGATCCTACCGGCACAGTAATACCATCGCTGTCGGGCCTGACAGGCTTAACGGCGTGGAATCAGCCTTATCTTGTTACGACAGGCAAAATTTTTATAGCGGTGGGACCAGATTCAAATCAGTTCGTAATAAGCATGCCAGTTGGTCTGCCTTGGATGATGTTGGCGGAGACCTTGTCAGATCCCAATCTGTTCTAGGTGGTGGTCAGTCAACTTCCTCTTATCAACAACTTGTACCCAAGATTTTTTTTTTCCTTAACTTTCGCCTTTCCAGTTTATGACCCTTACACCGCAGAGCGACGAGGTAATCGCACTCGCACTGCGTTTCCCAGTCCCATTTCCCGACGAACGGTAGTTTATCACCGCCATGGTGTTGGCGATGATGACGACGATGGCCAAACGTCCACAACAACATATACTAATACCCAATCCATGCCGCGTAAGGCTGGATCAGCCGGATCCAGGAGTCGCACGAGTGAATGGGCATTTGAAGGTTGGTTGCTGCTTGAAACGCATATACGAGTGAATTCGTAAACTGATTTGTATGTGATTTTGCGTTTCATTCAGATCAGCACAACAATCTTCGATCAATCCGCGCTGGCTCTCGGCTTGGTGGTCATACCAACAGTCTCATCATGAGTCCGTCTCGGTGCAAGTCAATCATGGAGAGGGATCGGACTCTGAGAGGCAATGGTGGTGGTGCAGCACCACCCCCATCAAAACCTTTCGCCCAATTTCTCAGAAATACATACCAAGACAAAAATTCACCCAACCAATGTAACGGTGACAGTCGTTCTTCAAGCTCAGGCGCATCTTCCAAGCTACTCCAGCAATCACACAGAGCTTTGGCCCATAGACATCTCACATCAGCCAAATTAAGCGACAGTGTCATTAGGTCCTCACGTCCACCAACTCGTGCCACCACATCAGCAGCCAGCGGCTTGACTGCCTTACTCAGTCCTACACCAACCGTCGATCACCATAGATTATTAATCAGTGCTTATGAAGCCTTGGATCGGTCTCCAGACGATTTCTCCCCAGAAGCCGATGAACTAAACTTTGCTTTGAATGCCTTGTTGTCATCTGTTGTCAAGAATAGCTGCAAAATTGATGCTACACTGGCAGAGCTGAATGAGTCGAGCTTGAATCATCAAGTCGAAATGGAGTTAGTGGATGATTATATGGACAACCAAGCGGACGACACCCAGGCGTATTCCAGGCAGGAGCCATCATCGGAGCAAGTCAATCAGCAAAAGTATCAGATGATGGAAGATAGCCTAACTCACATGTCGAAGGTCCAGGCGCAACTTGTCCGCTCATCCAATGACCATATCAGAGATTTGACAGAAGTACTGATATGTTTGAGTAAATTGCAACGTTGCCAAAAGGAACAACACTTGGGCACTCGACAACAACAATCATTCCGAATTCCTGGCAGTGATGATACCCGTGATCTGTACGGCCATGGAGAAGTACCGGCCAAAGACCTCCTCAGATCCGGGAGTCGAGCCGGTCACAGATTCAGTCACTCACATAGCCCCAGCAAGCTTAGACATACCATTGACCTTAGCCCGCTCAGTGTCATCAGCTCGACGGACGAATCGCCACTTTCAAGAGTGAAGGCAAACAATGGAAACGAGTCGTCACATCACAGCATGACGAAGCCCTCGGGACTAGTATCCAATTCGACGAATGGTTTTGGACCACAGCACCATCGAGCGTCCACCATTTCATTTACCCACAATCGAGAGCTTTCATTCGAAGGAGTGGCCTATCAACAGCGTCGAGCTAAAAATCGGGTGTCTGCAATGTCCTCCACTTCAATTCGCCAGATGGGGGAATCTTTTTACGATGCGTCACACGGGGGGTCGTCACAATCTCGCAAGAGGGAGCCACATCTCA